AGGACTGTGCCCTCTTTCCCACAACATTACTGAATCATACGCGACTCATGCACTTGCTAAGAAATACAAGTGGACAAGTAATTTCAAGTGAATCCAGTACATAGTTCCTCTATTCAGATGGAGATAATGGGAGCCAACAGGTAATGATGGTTGCAATTGTAATGCACTGAATATTCTCTGTATCATTTCATGATGAAAAGCAGCTCAGTCTGGAATCGTGGATCCAAACGTGGTGAAAATCTGGACAGGGGCCCTTTTGGGTCTTGATCTAATCTCTCTAATGGGAAGAACTACAGCTTCTTTCTTCTTGGGGGGGAAAAAGTATGTATCAAGCTCCAGTTCCTTTATACTGATGGTGGCAATACCCTGAGTTTTTTTTTTCCAGCACTGTTCATCAGCAACTTTCAAAGTCCCTTAAAAGCACTGTCCCAGATTCCCCTCTCGCTCCTGCTGTTCAGTTCCATTGACTTGAATGGAGTTTTACCTCAAAGAGTGCAAGCATAATTGAGTGTGCTGAGCTTCATACATATCTTGCTGAAGATTTATAATGAACCCTTCACTTGTCACTGAAACACAACCCCTTTGCTTATCAAACATAGCTGTTTTGCAGCAAGAAACCACAATACAGAAAAAATTAGGACAGGGAACAAGAAAGAATACTGTAGCCAATTGAAACTGCGTGGGGATTTCAAAGGTCTTGGGATGTAATAGGCACAGTAACAGAGAACAAAATATTTCATGGACATTTTCAAGTCCACCAATGATTCATGATTTTACATCACACCTACCTTAGCACAAAGCTCCCAGCTACTGCACTGGAACATTGATTCAGGGCTAAAAACTGAAGGTAGAGCTAGCCTCACAACTCAGTCACCAGCATTATACCATCATAGTGCATGTTGGGACGGTACACCTATTTTTTAACATAGTGGACACAAGTTAGTTCATTTGGGCTGCTATTCCCCTCCCATGTATGAAATGCACAAGAGGGAAACGCCTACCACAAATAGTACATTTGGATTACGGGAGCTGTATTTCCAGTGCAAAAACTTTTCTCCCATACACGGCCAATAGCAGGAATTGGATCTAACCACCTGGTTAGCTTGCCCATCCAAGCCACTCCACCCTATTCAATCTCACTCCCTTCTGCACTATACATGGGCCACTGCAAGTGGTGTAATCGGTATAACCTCTCTTATTACCGACATAGCTCAGGAACTTCAGTTGTTGCAATTGTAAAGGCATCTGACATAACACCTTTTTCATCTCTGCATGCTTAGCAAGAAGCAGCTGCCAAAAGGTACCCTTTCATTTGAGAAGACACAGTAAAGGTATTCCTTGGTTTTCCTGTAGTTATAGACTTATACAACAAAGCAGCTGAAAACCAAAGGACTGCTCTGGCTTAGCTTTCTGGAACCACCTGGCTCAGGTGATATTTCCAACAAACACATGTCTAAAGCACTTTGGGTTTAATAATGCTTGGCCTTTACCAAGCTCTTTGTTGTTTATATTTTTAGTATTGCCATTGGTGACTTTGGCTCTACGTGGTCGTATTGTTTATAGCAGTTGAGCTTCTGAAGTACTTTAGAAACATGTGGCTCTGCTTGCTATGCAGATATTTGCATGGAGGATAGACAGATGGATGATAGACAGACAGCCTGCAAAAACAATATTCATATGAAAAATGATGCATACAGCTTCCATTAACATCATGGGCAAAAATCTCCATTTCTGTACCTGATCCAAAGCCCGTTGAAATTAATGATTTTCCTTCCAGTGACTTCAGCCCTCTTTCCTCCTCCACAACCCAAAACACACACAGAAACAGTCAAAAACATCCTGTACATTTGTCTTTGTTTTCAATGCAAACCTGAACAATAAAGCATGAGTAATAATAATTTAACTTAATACATACCACATTTTAGTTTAAGAGACACCGTTCCCAGGCAATAATGCGAAAGAGCAAAGAGAACCAGGCCCTCTACTTTTTACTCACTGCCTGTTACTGATTCTGATTTCAACATGAGAGATCTGAGCCTTAGAAAAAAGATTGCATGGTTTTATCTGGAACTACTTTACCTAGAATTTGATTAATTTTTTTAGACAATAAAAAAAAATCCTTGAAAAGGAGATCTTTCTTTTCACAGCCTGGCATATGCCAGGGATCACCTAGTGACCACCGATTTTTGATCTGTAATAAAGATTTTGCTTCAAATCACTGTGGGGCACTGGGAGAAAATATGGCTTATAATATATTGCCAATCATTATAAATGACTTGTTAGTATAAGCAGGAACCAAAGTTAGACAAAGCTCCTGACAGTGAGATGACTATTTGGCCCTTTGGGTATCAGCCAATCTTCATCATACCGCATGATGATATAACTCTTATCCTTATCTTAAGAGAGAATTTTTAGCATGATTCTCAAAATAAGAAAAAAAAAAAACATCATTCATAGCAAGCTGCACAAGACACCTGATCTTAAAATGAGTTTCATGATTAAAATGAGCTGTAGTAATTCTATAGCCAAATCATGAATACAGCAACTGGTTGGGCTCAGACATGTTGAATGATACTTTTGCATTATCATCTTAACTTTATTGTAAGTTAACTGTATCATGTTCAGTTTATTCACAGCACATTACAGCTTTTTCATTAGAAAACAGAAAACATGGCTGAAGTATCTCCCTAGTCTCCCTGTTGAGTTTGTCCTTTTACCTTTACCATTGTCTGTGTACATTGTGGAAGGTGAAAAAAGAAAGAATCAGCTGAGAAATAATTAGAGGCTAAAGCGTAAGACATAAGATTCACCATATAATTCCTAACACTGCAGCCAAACCTAGTTTTACCAATTGAAATAAATGTTCAATGTTATGCAAAAAGCCAGCCTGATGTGTGCTCCAGTTTACACCACACAAAACCTATAATATCTAAAGCACAATATCAATATCAATAATAAACAACACAACTTTTAGTGATTGTCTGTCTCCATGGGTCTTGTTTGAGTTCTTCCCCCATCTTGTTCACAGTTTTGGTTCTTGCTTATGAATGAAAGGTAATTTTCCATAGACAAAGGAATAAAGGACACGTTAATACTTGTATAAACATGAAGTGTCATCAAATGGATGCTTGTTAGCAGTAATACTTTAATCAAATGATCCAGAGACTGCCCAAATGAAATGGAGGATTGATTCAATCATTGGTAGAATTAAACAGAAAGCACTACAATTTTATTCTGATGTGTTTTCTACTTTGAAATATTTTAAAGTTACAAACAACACGGTGATACCTTGAGTTCCTTGCACACCTTGTCACCATGTGTGTCTCTCAAAGCTGGACTCATTATTTGCAATGGAGTGACAGTAATATGTGCACAGACCCAAAGCAGCATTCCTGTTAATGACACCCCTTCGAGATCCCAAGAAACTGGAAAGAAAGGGAATGCAGCTGCCTACTGCATGTCAGTTTCATAGTTGGTAGGGTCGGAAGGGACCTGAGCAGATCATCAAGTCCGACCCCCTGCCATGGCAGGAAAGAGTTCTCAAAAGCATTTAAGTAACAAAGAGATGATGAGTCGTAGTCAGTGAAGTTGGCCCTGAAACATGGAAGCTTATAGGCCCATCTTTGAGCAATGCTGGTAACTAAGAAGGTTTGAGTATGACGTTGAAGTATGACCATGAATTGTCAGCTACCTGCCAAGGTGATCCCACATGTTCCAAGAAACACCTGAGACTAACTGAAACATAGACATATCTTGGATATTTTGTCTCAGACACCAGTTTGTTTCTAAATGGAAAATGTGGAAATTAACAAAAGGATTTGCTCCATGTCTGTGGAAAGAAGGAATGCCAACAAGAAGTTTCTGCACTGTGCCAAAGACCTGCAGGAGAGAGAGAGAATACAGCTCCTTGAAGGCAACAGTGGTAGAAAGAGAAACAGAACATTTGGAACAAGGATTCTTAAACAGGGTGCTGCAGCACTCCTTTCAGGGGTGCCACACAGTATTAGCAGTATTAGGTGTGCAAACATGATGCACAAGGAAAATCCAGATATTTAAAATAGAAATTCATGATGTTAAAAGTATTGTAACCTGGTGTGATGTTTCTGAGTTCTTTATAACAAAAGAATTGCTCTATTATTTTTTTGCATTTAAAAAAGAGTGAAAAGAAAGAGTTTTTATTTTCCAAGGGATGCCATGAGTCTATTGAGGGGTGTCTCAAGTCTAAGAAGGTTAAGAGCCACTGATTTAGAAGATGCAGATAGGTGTTAAAGGATCCTTAATCTCTCATGTTTTCAGCAGCTTTCAGCAACCCTAAATCCAAGACTGCAGGCAATAGAGGGAAAGAAAAGAATTCAAACATAAGGTTTAGCAGTATTCATTTCAGAATTTGGGTTTATTCCATAAATCCTTGAGATAATACCTATGTCTCACAAAACATCTATTGCTTTCTCTCCCTTGTTTTCTCTTTGTGTGCATCTCCCCTCTTTCTGCATCTGTCTTCACTTTCACGTGACTTCACTACCTTGTGTACTTCTATTTCTCTCACAGGAGCCAGATTATTTTCATAGTCTTTGTTTTTTATGTCCATGCAAATAAAACTGTGGCAAAATAGGCACCATCAGTCTGCAGTTAGAGAAACCACCCTTCTTAAGGGGGCTTAGGCAAGAATGGCTCCTTGTCACATCAGGAGCAAGCAGTAACTTCTCGGTCCATCTACTCCCATTACCTGCTTGCTTATTTTTTCCTTATGAGCAAATATTTTATTTCCATAAAGATCAGAAAAAAAGATGGTGCGCCTGCTAATCCTGTAACAGCAACTTGCCTGGGCAATCTAACTACTTCAAAGAAGCATGGACAAGATGTTCAGAGGTGGAAGACGGCCTGAATTTTGAACCAACTGCATTGCCCTGACTAACTTGGAGTTCCTGTATGTAAAGACCTAAGAGAGCAAAAGAATATTAGGGAAGTTAAGCCCTTTTCCTTCTTGAACATTTTTTTTATGAATAGAAATTTCCACATTTATTTTTTACTTTAAAAATGTTGGTCAGTTGTTTCCTGTTTTGCTGGAGGTCCCTGTAGCAGACTCAGACATGCAACATGGGTGCTCTCTTGCCCTAAACTGAAAGGATGGAAGTGTTGAGAGTCTTTAAAAAGGAAGCTTTCTCCTAACCTGCTTGTCAGCTGCTCAGATTAAAAATGTCTATAAAAAGATAAGAGTGCTTTGAACAATATGAATATAACTCACTTCCCTGTTTACTAAATCAGGTTTCATGTCCATATCCATATGCAAAATCTTTGCTATGCATCTTCTAGGTCTTCAGTCAGGCAGAGTCTTCCAAGGAAAGCAAGACAGAGAAGACCAGAATTTATCATAGATAAACAGACAACTAAAACTACTTTTTAAGCCTTCTGGAAAGTGGAACACCTATGCCAGCCTATCTGCCAATACCCATCAACTTGCCAACATGAGATCCTGTCCCTGTAGAAGATAGAAGATTACTTGCTCCAGGCCATCTATCTCTAGGAACTAATGAAGGATTATCCCCAGACTTTCCCTGATCTAGCTTGAGAGTATTCTTGTTGGCGGGAAGGGGAGAAGACAGTGTCAGTAACACAGAGTGCTGTAATTCACTTTTTTGTGCATTGGAGTGGTTCACGTTCCTGCAAGACAAAATACAACTCATCTTATTCCTTCGGGCTCAAAGACCTGACAGCAGGTTGCTCAGTGACAACTGCATGGCTACATGTGAAGTTGATGCCACATGGCTATCTGCCTCCTGGGGTTCCTCAGCATCTCTTCCCAGTGGTTCTTCTCTGTGCCGGTAGCATGCAGACCTAGACTGCACTTGCCCAGTGACTGGTTCGGCCCTCCGCCCTCCTGGGTCATCATCTCCAGCTCCACAGTCGAGACGCGCAACAGCTCATGAGGCACCTCAAACATGATCATCTCATTCCAGACAGGGTTGATTTTGTGCTTTGCATGTTTTGTCTGCTTCTTCTTCAGCTTCACAGACTGATGCTTCAGTGTCACCTTGACAAACACATCTGCATGGAAAATGTAGGGGTGGGGGGAAAGACACCGTGGTGATGAATATGCAACAGGGAGAGACTAATTACAGGACGATATGAATGCAATGACTACAGATCTAAATAAAAGAACTTGAGCCATTTTATTTGTACACTTTTTTCCCCTCTTAAAAGTATTTTAATCTGTTTTGCTTTCTAAAAGCAAGTGGCATTTTTATAATCTCAGGCAGAGGTTAATAAACAGTTCCTGAAAATGTACTATAGAAAGCAATGTTTGATACCACTGCTTTCCATTAATCCTGTCTGTAATTAGACTCTTTGTGGTCTTAACATGGGATGGTTAAAGTGAGCATATGAATGTTAACTATAAATCTGCTTGTGCAGCTAGATGAAAAACATGATGCTACTCTTAATTATGGAGATGGCTTCTAGGTAATAGGATGAGGGGCATTAGATTAGATTAGATTAAACTGACTATATGGATTCCCAGTAAATCAGGCTACACTGGTAGCATCATGTCCAATAAAAATTTACTCAGTCTCCATATTGCCATTCTTTACTCACCATTTCCCAGGAGATCTTTCAACTGTTTGGAATGGAGATTCTTGGCCTTTATGATCACAACTAGCAGCCGGTTTGCTGCTGGCAGATAGCTGATAGAAAGAAGAACCTCCCCATAGCCTGTAGATGGCACCTGGCAATCAAAAGAAGTATGAGAGGGAGGGCAAATTCTCTCTGCTTTTTCAAGTAATTCTCAGAGAACAGCAATGAGAGGGTAAGGGTCAGTGGTAAACTCTCAGATATACCGAATCAAGACGGCAGAATCCCCCAGTTGGAGCGACAAGAGTCTGATGAAACCAAGAAGGATCTTGGGAGGACTCAGCTGACAGGTCCCCCAGTTCTCCTTACCAGTTAACCTGGACACAGGAGTTAACTTTTTCTTTTTTTTCATGCTGAAAAATAATCGTCTCCTACCAGTTGTTTTCAGAAAAGCATTTACTCCAAAGAATGGAACAATACAATGTCACATGAACAGTACTCTGTTCAACAAAAATGCCTACAGAGAAATTTAGCTGCAGCCTTAGTTCCCCCCTTTCTTTAAAAAAAAATATGGAACAGCTGCTATCTCTGTCTTTAATTACTGCCTTTCGTCTTCTGTGTCTTTTCTCAGCTACTCCTTGTGTGAGGCCTTCTGGCTCAACATAATCTTTGCCCTCTGTAATCAGAGTGTGAGATCTCCTGCTAAAGAGCAGAAAATCCCCAAAGGTATTAGATTAATATGTACTGCTAGGGTATGTAGTCGATAAACCAGATTTGGCCACTTAAAATTAGGTTTCATTTTTTGTTTTGAATCAAAACCTCAGTACAATCAGCACTTGTGCCGTTTGCTTTGCTTTGCCTTCTTGACATGTCTGCTCCCAAACCTGAGAGTGATTGTCTACTTCCCGAAGCTTCAGTATCGCTAAGAGCTGTGAATGATCAAACTTCCACCTCATAGGGCCAGTTCTTTTATTCCCTTCTTCCCATTAGTGACTGCCCCCTTAGCCTTCTGACCTTTCTCCCCTCTATGCTGTAGACATGTATCCCTGAGGCAGAACAGGGGGGTAGTTATCACACTTTCCTTTGAAAGCAATGCCATTTTCGTAGTAGAAAGTCAGAGGAAAGGGAGAGAATATGCATGTGCACACAGATCAGACAGTGGGAAGCAAATGGGAAGTAATTATGCACTCATGTAGCATTAGCTTTTGACAGAAATCCAGGTTTAGCATGAGGTTTAATGACCCAGAAGAGTCACAGGAAGCCAATGCTAGTTGAGTCAATTCCCTTGGATTTCTCAGCACCAACTACAACCTTCAGAACAGCGAACTCCTGCCCAAGGCTTTTGAGTGCCCTCCACTCTCAGTTTTAAATGGGCTATAAATATTTCAGATTAAGTTTTCACTAGAATGGCTGCTGTCAACACAGACGAGCTCCCTATCCATGCTTTAACAGTGGACTTACTCTCTAGAACAGTGGTTTTCAACCTTTTTTCATTTGCAGACCCCTAAATAATTTCACGTGGAGGTGCACACCCCCTTGGAAATTTCAAATGGAGATGTGGACTCCTTTGAATTGTAAGTGTGGACATTCACATACTTTTGATTGATCGTAGTCATCTTTCATGGACTCCTTAGGCGTAGTCTGCAGACCCCTGAGCATTCGCAGACCACAAGTTGAAAACCACTGCTCTAGAAAATATGACTGTCAACACTATCAGACTGGAATAACTCATACATGCACAAAGACCGGAAGTCATTACCAGGGAAATCCAAAACTCAAATAAGTAAAAAATCTTAGAGAAGACAATGTACATCTTTTTCATGAATTTAGGCAGGAAGAACAGACAGCACCTGATAAATTGTGCTCAAAACACCTTATACCAATCCTGGCCTAAATCATAATTTAGGTCAAAGGAGGCAAAAGCATGAATTTTAAACCCAGTACTGAAAAGAGCCTTATCTCCACTGCAGCAAGTAGAGGTCTTCTACATGTATATCGTTCTCTCAGCATAAAAACCCAGTGGAGAAATGGAACATGTTTTTACCTTAGTGCAGTTAGGCAAGGTCAGCTATATATCCCTCATCCAGGTTTTTCACCCACTGGTTACTCTGACTACAGTACCTCACCCCCCACTAAGATTTGACATTGAGAGAGTAGTTTCAAGCTAGCTCTCCGCAGGTGGTAACTCCTTTCCATTTTTGTTATCACAGAGAAAACATACCTGATGGTTTGTTCTACCACACTGGGCACTTCATTTAAAGCCTCCTGTGCCTCAGCTTCCCCTTCTGCAAGTAAGAATAACTACCAGGTGTCATTAGGTAGAACCTGTGAAAAATGTGTATGAAGCTGTCTGAGCTCATGAGATGGGAGATAAGAGCGATTATCATCTTTATAATTAGTAAACCAGTGGGAAGGGAGGAAGCCTGCAGCATCTATAGTTTTCATTGCTCCAACCAAGCAACAGCAATCCATACATTTCCAAGCAGAAATGACATAGCCTGAGTAGCTGTAAGCTCCCTCCTGGGTTCTTTTCTTTGTGATGGAGTGTTTCAAAGAGGATGGTTTTCATATTTTTGAAGCTTTTCAAGGAAATGTCAGACTTTAAACATGTCCCAGCAACCTTGTTCCTGGATGCAGGCTGGCAAAAATTGCTCCTATTGCTTTTGATCAGCAGTCTCTCACTCCCTCATTCCCTACTGCTCCGGTTCTCAATTAATGATTCAGGACCTCTTTGTGAGCAATGTGTGTAATGGCTGGCTCTCCCAGGTCCCTGATGACGCAAATACAGCATTCACTGCACATTTTTCAGCTCAAACTGGGGCATTGTTAACAGCCAGTATTAAAGTTAACCTACTCCTGTCAGGGTACAAAAGAAATCAGTTTTGTCCTTACTACGTGGGCAGCTGTCTGTACAGATGGATGAAGTCAGAATGACTAACATGTCTGCCAGCTTATGGTTATATTTGGATGATACCTGCTAATCACTATATACACGCAGTTTCCTGGTACTTCACAGTATGTATGTATTTAACCCATTACCACTATACTGGCATAGCCCTGTACAAACCTTATGCCACTTTATGTTCCTTGGGAAGGGATTTAAGCTAAACCAACAAAGCCATTTCTATACCAGAATAACTGTGCCCTCATGGAGGGTGCTGAATCCATATAACTATGTTGGTGTAACTCTGGGGTGAGCAATTATTTCAGGCAGAGGGCCGCTTACTGACTTTTGGCAAGCCATTGAGGGCCACATGACAGGCAGCCAGGGACAGATAAATATTAATTTTCTAAATTTTTGGGGGGCCCCGCAGGCTGGACAGAACCACCTGGCAGGCTGCATCCAACCTGCGGGCCGCATTTTGCCCACCCTGGTGTAACTGGTGAAACTTTCCACTTTAGAGAAGGCCAGGAAAACCATCGAATAAACTGATCCAGGTCATTCCTTTATTTCCTTCATACAGTACCCAACCTGGTTAGTGGCTGAACAGGTAAATTAGCATTATTGTAAACTGGAGTCACAGATGAGTTCTGTGACTTAAGCAAAATGAGCGTGTAGCCCTCACAAATGACAGCGCCAGGTGGTTACTTATTTTAGTGCCTGTAGCAACACTATCAGTGCTGTTTCTCACTGCCTGTGTTGCCTTGCCCTGTCTGGAATTACAGTACTGATTGTCCTGCCTTCAAGTGCTCCAATTGCTAATGGGCTATGTTTTTAAAACAATGGCAAGGGAACTTTGGGCTAGATCCTATCCCACCTATTAGACACCTAACTGGATGTAGGTGCCCAAGTGTGATCCTGTTCCATCTTGCCTAAGTCTCTGGGGGAAAAAAATCACACAGAAGGCAGCAGTGCTTATTTAACTGGAATAGTTTTAACTATCTTGAGTCAGGTCTTGAAGAGCACATAGTACTTTTGAATTCAGAGGCATTGAGTACTTGCATATTCATCATCTCTATGAACTGGTTCAATGTAAATACAAACGAGGTTATCGTATGCTCACTGAAGTGCAGGTAGATTGAAAAAAACCTCCCTTAACTTTGGCACTGAATGATTTTCTTGTTATATTGCCTGAGCTATTGCCATGCAATACCTTCTCCAGGGTCTTCAGTTTCTCCCACTGGGCTGTTCCAAAGGGTTCCCCCACCTCAGCCAGGCTCAGTTTAAGTTCCCCAACAATGCTGTGCCTAGAGAACTTATCACAGGTCCTCAAAGTAAGAGTCAGTGTCCCCTCTGGCATCTCTTCCTCGGCTACTGGAAACAGCAGAGCTTCTTCCCAAATGGTGTGAAGTGCTTTCTTCTTCAGCTCTGTCTGGGCTTCGGTGATGCCTGACTTACTCACCACAGTGCCCAATATGTAGCAGTGACTGCCAGGGTCCTGGTCCCCTATCATACTTCCATGCATAGCTAGAGGAGAAGAAAAAGGAAAAGGAAGCTTTAATTGATTGAAAGATGCTATCACAAGGGTTAGGCTTACAAAGGATTTGGGGCCTTTGCCTGGCTCAGAGTGCTCATAAAATGAACTAAACCATACAAAAACCCTCAAACCACCCTCCTGCACCCTCAAAATCCTCCTGCTTTTTGCAGTGGAAAGACTCAAGTCTTTGAGGCAATGTTATGGACTTTGCTTAAGTGCATACAAGAATATTATTGTCCATGATCTTCAGGAACAACACAAGGATACTGTTATTATTGTTCTGGAGAGTCTGCATCATACTCAACTAACATGCTCAGATTCAGGGCACTGAACAAGTAGCTAGATGAGACACAACATAAGATATTCTGAGGGGCTTTAAACTTACCTTCGCATTGGGGCAGCAAGAAAGCCTGTTACATTTAAAAGGGAGCAGTTAGTCACAGGAGTTATAGAGGAGGTATAAGGCCTCTTAGTACATCTGCTCCATCCCTGAAGCTAACTATAGTATGCCCCTAAAGTTCATTCTTCACTCTTACATCTAGTCCATTTGCAGATGGCTTCCCAGAGAGACCATTGCACTGCTCAAAGGACTTCAGTGATCTTAGCCTGAATTTTCCTATTTATTTTATTCCAAGGGTGAAAGTTCTAAAATGAAAACTATACATGAAAAATCATTTTTGCATGTTTCCTTAAATACTGAAAAAAAATCCTATTGTCTTTCCAAGCCAAAGGTTACAGTTCTGTCCTTAGGTGGGTAATGCAATACGAGGCTTTTGGGGACCACTGGCTCTGTAATTGTGAGCTGATTGACCTCCTAAGAGAATAGAGTAGGATCCAGTCTATGGCTGAAATACACTGACAGGGACATCAGCAAGAGCATACATGCATATAAGGACTCACTGAACATACACTTCCACCTGAAAAAGAAATTCAGCACTACGGGTTAGCTATTAGCATCTTGTCCAGAATGGGGGTTGCAAGTCTTTGCTTGGGAAAGTGATATCTAGGTTTGATTTGGGGCAGCTGAGGGAGGTGCTATGAAATAGATGGGATTTCTGAATTATTTACACAGCAAATCTTACCTTCCCCATAGGATGAATGACACTACTACAGCTATCTGTCTTCATTTCAGACACAACCACAGAGCCCAGTTCTATGGCCAGCCTTATCTGGAGAGGGTTACCATACTCAGAAGGAATATGAGCATCTCCCACTTGACTTGAGCAAGGAGATTGTTATGGTTAATGTTAGAGCTTTCTTTTCATCTGGTAGTGGGAAAATGCATATTTTAATTTCTGCTAGTTTATCTTTCAGCTGGATTTGCCTTAAGGACCCATACAGAGGGACAAAACACCTGCCTGCCACCTCCCTCGCCATGTCCCCTTAAAAGATGTCCTCTTATGTCCTCTTATTTGTGCCCTTCTAAACCTGAACAGAGTAAGATAAAACCTGATTCCCTAGTTCTGTGCTTAATGCACATAAGCTGTTGCTGGTTAATGCTAAATGATGGCATGTGCATTCTTTTCAAGCAGTGAAATATCTCGGTATTTCTACTTTGAAAACCTCCTGAGCAATAAAATGTCCCTCTGTGGGTTCTGTGAGAACGTGTTGGTTTTTACATAGGAGGCAAAGTATTTTTACAGTCAGAAAATGCCTTCTATCTTCACAGACAAAGGAGGTCAATGCAAAGCCTCCAAGAAGCCTTTACCTTCCAGAAGGCATGGGACTCTTGAGCCTGGAGAAGAGAAGGCTCAGGGGGGAAGACAAGATCTAATGGTCACAAACTGCTGGAAGACTGTTTTAAGACTGGACATAAGGAAAAACTTCTTTACCATCTGAGTTTCCAGAGTCTGGAATAGACTCCCCCCGGAAGTGGTGCAAATACCTACTCTGGATACCTTTAAGACATGCTTGGATGCTTATCTTGCTGGGGTGATCTGACCTGCTCCTTGGGCAGGGGGCTGGACCTGATGATCTCGCAAGGTCCCTTCCAGATCTAATGTCTATGTAGTCTATGAAATGCCACACCTTCCACTTACCCTCCAGAAATGCCACACACAGCTCAGCTTTCTGTCGGTCGTAGCCAAGGGAATAGTGGAGCTCGGGGACCTGGTTACAGCTGGCTGCTCTCTCAGGATTCAGGTGCTCTGTGACACACACATCCTTTACCACACCTGGAACTGAACAAATCCCATTAGCAAGCCTTCAGCTTTCACCAGGACCAACTCTTCACCTCTTTGTATTCCTCCTTGCTTCCCTCCTTCCTGCTCCCATTTCCTTCTCCCATCTTTGCACATCTGTCCATATCATTTGAACAAGCCTCCCATTTTTTCCTGCCCTGGGACTGCAAAAAGCTTGCCACATATTGATCACTTCTCCAGCTTCCCTCCCATTAACTCTATATGTGTTGTTGCTCTTGTACTGTTTTTCCACACGTTGCCTGAAGTATGTGGTCTCTGGGATAACAACTTTAGGGTTGCTCCCTCCCAGGATGCTAAAAATACAAAGCAGCTGGAAGGAATTCAGTCACGTTCATGGTACATTCTTTCCCACACAGAAAGCCACTGCTGCCTTAGTTCACACAGTCCCTGGTTAAGCAGATGATCGTGAGACAGTGATGGGAAGTTGTGAAGCTGTTTCTGCTTGCAGGATTTTTGTAGTGGGATATATTAGCCCAGCTACCACAAAGAAGGCTGTATGAGCAGATAAGGCATCTTGCTTTGACTCTAGAAGCGTCAGTCTATGTTAAAGGCTGCCCCCGGTTGACCAACTGTTAAATGGGCACCTGGTCATTTGGGCTGGGAAGTCAAAGGCAGCCTGATGTGATGATGGCTACATCACTCCCTTTTGTGCCGTTGGCTATGGAAGTGTGTTGTGCCTTAGCCCTGTACTGTCTGGCTGGGCAGACCTTTGACTGCCCGATCTCGAAAAACACAGCCTGCAGGATTAAAAGGACAGCCAATATTTTGCTGCTGGACATTTCTATCTGCAGGACCAATTTTGATCAGGACAAAAATATGAGGGAAGTTGGAATCCCACTGACATGTGTCACTCATGATAAAAATCAGTGGGATGTGGTATAGAAAGGAGAATTCAGATACTTAAAATAAAGCACAAGAAACTTGCAGCACAGCAGAAAGGAAGATCATGTGTGGAGCTGGTATTGCACAGGGATTAGTGCAATTGCACAAAAGTACATTAAGCGCTGTACTTGTCTCCATGGGAGCCATTTTGCTTTGGCATCCCTATCCTCCTGTTTGCCCTGTGACACCCCCAGCACAGCTGCTTCTTAGGGCATCCCCTTATTCCCTACAAGACCTGTTTCTGCAGGCAGAAGTTGAGATAATGGCTCTGTGCCCAAAAAGACAGAGAGAAACTTAATCCCTAGTGATTTCTCAAGTTAAAAATAAATCTCTCTATAAACCACACACAGACTGTATTGGGCCTTCTGGAAAATCTCCAGGAAGGTTGTATTAATGTTATAGTCACCAGGATCAATTGTGCCGTTAAAAAGGCAGCAGGGGAGGCAAAATCAATGTGGGCACAAAACCATCAGAATTAAATGCTGCCAAATGTGAATAATTAAAATGAGATTTTCTCTAAGTTTATAAGAGTGGTTTTGAAACTATTCGGGATGCTGCTGTGTTATGCCTAGGGCTGGCTAGAAATTAAGAATCCCATTTGGTGGAAAATTTTTGAGGTCTGGGAGGTCTTTTTTCTTTAGCATCAGGATAAAAGTAAGAACTTGAAAAAATATTTCTGGGAAAAAAACAGACTCTACTCTCAAAATTCCCAAGACTCATCCTAGACCTGAGAATTTTTTCTGTTGAAGGTTTTGTTTAAATGGATATATCCCCAAAAAAGTGTTGTATTTAATTAATTGGCATTTTCTGGCCAAATGTGTAGTTAAAAAATTCTCAACGGACTCTGGTCACAGCATTGTGAATGGAACCACCCAGTGTGTTGCCATGCCCCCCTGTTTACTCACCCACATTTAAAATGATGGTGGACAAAAGAAAGCTTTAAATGATTTGTAAACAGAGAACATTTATACTGGAATCCATAAGAGAAGGGAATAATGGAGCCTATCCTCATTATTTACCTCTCTTATTGTAATTTTATTTAGTCCTATGCATCAGGACACCTGGCCATAACAACAATGGTTACCAGTCTGACTAGGGAATGGTGCCATTGGACTTGGACATGTACCTACCATTTTGAGGGAGAACAAATAACTCCTCGTTGACTTGTATCTTCATCCTGTTCTCATCCAAAACAGTGTGTTTTCCTTTAGTTGGTTCTTCAGTTGTCTTCAAGGCATAATCTGTGTAGTTGACAACTTCTGGGGAAGTCACTACTGGCTTTGGTCCATAGATGTTGGGAAATTGCAGGAGGGTCCGAGGCTGGACAGGTTCTGCAGTCTTCTTAATATTGAACTGAAAAAAGATCCAGTTGAATTATTCTTTACAAATTAAACTAACACCGCTGAGCTCACTCTGAGTCCAGACCAAGATAAAAACGTTGCTTTCAGGCATTCTAAATGTCATTGCTACTTCTCTGCCAGAACTCGCTACGGTTATCAATCAAGAAAATTCCCTGCCAAGCCTGTTACTCCATTTCTTGGACTTCATCTTCTTCAGATTCATCATGTGGCCAATGTTTGTTTGCAACAGAAAAAGGAAATGTTCTTATTGGTTGATGATTTCCCCTTCACAGTACTTTGAATCCTTAATTTATATGCCTATGCCATCTCCTTACTAGTCTCAGAGACTGCTAAGGGAGTTGCATCTGGGCTATAATTGATATGTAGCTTCTGTTGCCTTTTTGTGTATGTCAGCACGAAGATCAATTGGCTACATTTATGCATTCATTTACCAAGCTTTTCAGATGAGGGTATACTAAGCATTAGGAATATCTGGCCACTGTGAATCCTATTATTTGCAATATGGAAAACTAAGATACAATACAGCACAGGGGAAGTGGCTGACCACAGCAATCTTATACTCGCTCCTGCAGTGCAAGACTAGCTCACCCAGAAACTCATTTCCCCCCCCTCTAAACTGCTTGGATTTTGTCATGGCTCTATGAGCCAGAGCCCCAACTCCCCACTGGGATACCTTTCTCTTTGATCAAACAGGCAGACAGAATACCTTTGATAGTTTTGAAATTATGCTTACACTTCCTGCTTAGAAACTCAGTATGCACTTCCTTCATGTTTACCAACTACAGCCTGCCAGCTATGATAATAGACAGATGGTTTTAACCTTCCGTTTCAGCTGGCCAGTGTTACTTGGAGTCTATCTGTCCTTAGACTCAAGGATCACAAGGGTTTGGATGGCGATTGCTTTCAAAAGTCAGTTGCTCTCTTCAGCCTCATACGGCCAGCCCCAGGAATGTAGGATTGCTCCCCTCTGTTCCTTCACCAGGATGCCAATGAAATACCAAATCTTCTCATTTCTGAGTTCAAGGAAGTGGTGGAAAACTTCTTTCACCAGTTATTGATTCCCCAAGCTATCTGTTCATTGCTTCTAGCTACTCATTTAATCCTGTGGTTACATTTAATATAAGCAGCCTATATTATGATGCTCAATTTGCAGCTCAGAGGGCTATGGGTTGGAGCAATCACCAGGTTCAATAAACTTAGGTATACCTGAATGAAAAGAACTACACAGCAGGTTCTGGAGCAGTAAGTAGCCCCTGTAGCCCCTTTTCCTGTCTCTGACTAACTAATTTAACTGAGGGATCATCTCCCAACTTCCAGCCACTGTAGTCTAAGTAAGGAAGTGTCTCCAGACTACAGCATCTACCACCATGTCTTCCCTCTTACGTACCAAAATCAATTAACACTCCTCTAAAGAAAAGAGGTTATTAGCACATGATTCTCTAGTGAGTTTTTACCATTCTCTTTTCTAATCCCCCCTTTTCTGCAGCTCTTTTAACAAGTCTGTAGTGTCTTTCAGGAGATTTCACTTTCCTCCCTGACCAACAAGAAGCTGACCCTGAGGCACCCAAGGGACCTACTTGTTGACCTGGTTCTGTTTCTATTTCCAGTGCTAAGGTAGGAACCATTAATTGAGAACAGTCTAAGTCCATCTCTTCTCTTAGGTCATGAGTTTCATGGGAGTGCTCATAGATCCTGAAAATTTTGCCTTACCATGTTGTCCTGGTCCATTCAGAGTAGGGACTTGACTAGGGACTTGACTAGGCACTTGACAGTACCACACTGATGCTACATATTTGAGACAATTCCTCAGACTCACTCTGTCCCCAGTTTTTAGTACTGAAAGCTCCTAGGTTCCTCTATCAAAACACAATTTTTGTTTCTGTTTCTGAATTTCTTTTGTCTCCCAGTGTCATAATCTTGATCTTTTAGTAAATTGCCACAGATCAGCAACTTAGAATGTATCCATTGACCCATTAAACAGCTGTGATGGTGACCAGCCATTTACAAAAGGTAACCTTTAATATACCAATAACCCTCTCAGAAAGTTACCCCTACTGTCAAATGATTTCTTCAGTAGGTTTTTATGGTCTGAACAGAACATTACACAAGGCCATTTGATAGGGGATAAGTAGGGCTTGATGTATTGTGCCAGAAGTCCCAATCTTCAGCAAACTGCTTAAATTCAGAACCAGAGAACCAAGGCCCATTTTCACTAAAAACTTCCTCTGAAATCCCATGCCTTGCAAATATGGCCTTCAGGCTGGATATCACTGACTTCTCAGTCATACTAGACAAAGTGCATACTTCTGACTACAGGGAGTAAAAGTCTGTAGCTATTAAATAAGTCTTTGATTTCTACGTAAGTAAAACAATACCAACCTTTTCATATACCCTGAATAGAATCGGGTGAAATTGTAGGAGCTTGGCCTGCTGATGTGGCTGAAACTTTAAATAAGTGTGACAGTTTTCTACTATGTTTGCAATGTCATTATTGATTCTGGGCCAGCACCTCACTTTGTGATGCTTGGTTTTATATTTCTCGATTCCTGAATGGCCTATGTGGATCTTCTGCAGTACTTTCTTATGAGACTGCTCCATATCACCAACTTACTGCCTTTTACCACCAAAAGTTCATGTCTACAATTCCAGTAATTTGTTACCTCTATGTTCCACTCACTTTGGGACCCTGGCCAACCTTTAACTATCATTTTTTCATGAGTCTCAATGAGTTGTCCTTCTCTATTTCTATTTTTATTTGCTGAAGTTTCCTCTCTGCTACACAGAGCAATGTGACAATCAAGTCTACATAAGCTTGCACTTCTGTCTCAGAGGTCTTTTCTGGTTTCATAGCCAAATGTACATCTCTAGAAAGTGCATCTGCAGTAATCATAAATGTATCTGATAGATAGGTCACAAATAAGTTATACTTCTGCAGCTTGAGCACCATTCTTTGAATCCTCAAAGTACAGTCATTTAATGGCTTGTTAAACAATGCTATCAGGAGTTTGTGGTCTGTTTCCACATATGCTGTCTGGCCATAGATATATTGGTGAAAGATCTCACACGCAAACAATATTCCCAGTAACTTCTTGCCAATCTGTGCATATCTGGTTTCTGGCTTGGTATTGGATCTGGAAGCATATGCCACTGGTTGCCAATCATCATTATATTTTTCCAAAATTGCTGCGCTGACCCATGACTGAGACTCCTCCAACAATTTTTATAGGTTTTCCAGCTGTAGAGAATTTCAGTACAGGTTCTTGCATTAACTGTTGCTTCAGCACAAACCATGATACTTCCCATTCTGCATTCCAGCACCATTCATTTCTATTCTTGAGGAGTATCCTTAATGGTGTCATTTTTGCTGATAAGTTTGGTATGAATTTGCCCAGAAAGTTTACTACTCCAAGAAACTTCAGCATCTCTGTCTTTATAATTTCATAGTTTCATAGTTTCTAGGGTCGGAAGGAACCTGAGCAGATCATCAAAGTCTGACCCCCTGCCATGGCAGGAAAGAGTACTGGGGTCAAACGACCCTAGCAAGGTGTACATCTAGCCTCCTCTTAAAGACCCCCGGGGTCTTTGACTGGGGACATGGCATCATTTCAATGGCTTTAATTTTTGCCTTGGCAGGTTTCACTCCTTTATCGGAGATGATATCCTCTACAAAAATCAGACCAGTGATGTCCAGCATGCACTTTGCTCTATTCAATTTCAAATTTGCAATTCTAGTGGTCTCCAACACTTTCAGAAGATTGCAATCATATTCTTCTTTGGTGGAGCCCCAAATAATAATATCAATCAGAAAGATGTCCATCAATCACAAAGGTGTCCAGGAATATGCATAAATCATGCATATGGTTTTATGATACATGTTGGGGTCAGAGGAGATACAAAAGGTAGATGTTAAAATCTTTACTTTCCAAAGGGAGTATTAAATGTACATAAAATAGAGCTTTTCGAAAATGAATTTCAGCTGCCAAAATCCTGAGGCAGCATCCAATTTCCTGAAAAATCATACATTTGCACATTGAGCCATAATTTCTTCTCTAGTTAGCAATTTAAAATGTTCTCATTTGATAGTCTTGTTGAGGTGCCTCTGATCCAGGCATATATACATATGTGACCATTATTTTTCTCCACAATAATTAAAGAGATTACCCATTCTGTAGGCTCCTGAATTTTCTGTGTCACTTGTAATGCTTCCATTCCTGCTAACTCCACCTTGAGTCTATCACAGAGAGCAAAATGCATGGATGAATAATGGGAAGGACTTGCTCATTTTTCTGAATTGCATGTTCACCTGGCAAGCAATCCAGCTCTTCAAATAAATCCTTATACTTTGAGATCATATTCTTAGGCTGTGGCTTCTTGTGATGTGGTGATAGATGTTGTCGTTTGGGGTTGCTCCCCTACTTAGACTACAGAGGTTGATAATTGGGAGATGGCCCCTCAGTTAAGTTAAAGACGGACATAGAGCCTGCAGTGGTTGCTTACTACTCCAAAATACAACCTATCATATAGTTTTTCTCATCTAGGTATACCTGTGTTTATTAAGCCCAGTGATCACATGGTGTCAGCCAAAGGTGGATCCTGAGGGGGAGTGCAGTGGTGCAGTTGTACTCCTTCCCCTTTGATTCCTCCTCCACCCAACTTTCAAGCCAACTGCTTGAAAGGGGTAGCAGCATTTCTATTCAGGCAGTGCTGAGAAAGTCAACTGGTTTCATGGTTCATTATTATCTCCCTGATTGCTGCTCATCTCTCTTTACTGCACAGGTGTTAATGACCCTCTATCCTTTTCAAAGGTCTTGATGTTCCTCTATTCAAATTATCCTTTCTTCCAAAATTTTGCTACCAGTCATCCCTGGTAATGTCTGTATTCTATGTCACAGCCCAGCAGGTAGTTTTAAGCTCTAGCTGAAAACCTTAACTCAGTCATGGTAATATTATGTCAGGTAACATTAACGCAGCTGTAGAAATGGCTGACAGTGA